GGAAGGGAAAGGGGGAGGGCTGTGTCTCTCTCTCTCTCGGGTAATACCGGAACGTGATGGAACTCCCGCATTACTTGCCTACCTCCATTGTCAGATTATCCTTCGCTGTTGTAGGCGACATTACCTCCCTATTCCGACCGCCAGAGCCCCGAGGTGTATTAGCCCTTAATCTCCGAGCGCATAAGGGCCGAAATGGGGGCCGCGCTAAAGATAGGGTTCGGCTGTTATGATTGACAAATGGGCCGATTGTATTTTATTGAAAGTTGGCGGTGCGTTGCGTCTGAGCGAGTGTGTGTGATTGACACTGTAGAGACAACAAGGGGGGGAGGGGGTCGGCGGAGGGGGGAGGGGAGATGGGGTAAGGATTGGGTAAAGCACAGGGGGGGAGGGGTGGGGAGGGAAGGATGGGGAAGAACACAGAGGGGAAGGGTGGGAGTGGGGAGGGAAGGAACGGGAGAATGTTTAGGAAAGGATGGAAGGAGAGGACAAGGAAGAATGATAAAGATGGAGAAGGGGAGGAGAGAGAGAGAGAGAAGAAGAAGGGAGTGAGGGAAGGATGAGGAGGTGAGGGAAGGGAGAGGGGGAAGAGTCAGGGAGAGAGCGAGAGAGAGAGAGGAGAGGAGAGGCAACAAAAGGGAGGGAAAGGGAGAGAGAATGATAAAAGGATGAAGACGGGAGAGGGGATTAGAAGGAAGGGAGGAGGGGGAGGGGAGGAGAGGGGGAGGAGAAAGAAAGAGAGGGAAAAGGAGGGAGAACAACAGACCCCGAGACAAGGGCAAAAGGCGGAAACGAGAAGTGGGGGAAAACAGAACAGGAGGCATGAGCGGACGGGTGATAAAGACGGCAAGAATCAAGGATTTGGACAAAAGATATATGGAGGTGTGAGAAGGTATAGAAAGGGACTTAAGGTTATGGGTGTGAAAGAAAGAGAGAGAGAGAGAGAGAGAGAGAGAGAGAGAGAGAGAGAGAGAGAGAGAGAGAGAGAGAGAGAGAGAGAGAGAGAGAGAGAGAGAGAGAGAGAGAAATAATGCTAATAATGAGGATGATTATGCTACTACTACTACTACTAAAAACAGTAGTAGTAGTAGTAGTAGTAATAATGATAATGATATAATAATAATAATAATAATAATAATAATAATAATAATAATAATAATAATAATAATAATAATAACAATAATAATAATAATAATAATAATAATAATGATAGCAACAACAACAATAATAATAATGATAGCAACAACAACAACAATAATAATGATAATGATAATAATAATAATAATAATAATAATAATAATAATAGGACAAGAAAGATAACAAAACAAAAAGAAAACAAAACGAAACAACGCGAAAACCAAACAAACAAACAAGAGACACGAACGCCAATCTCCAGATAAGGACCCGATCTCCTCTCCATCTCTCGACGCATGACTGACGCGGGCGCATGACGCATGGCCGTTAAAAACACAGTAGTTTCCTAACGTTCCGTCACTCTCGCTATAATGATAACCATATCAGCTATTCAGAGGCCTATAATAATTCTAAGTAGGGAGGAAGTAGGCCTATGTACGCATATAACGCGCAGTCGGCCATAATCCTGATTGCTTTGTGTGTTTTTTATCTCTCTTTCTCTTTTTCCTTTTTCTTTATCGTTCTTTCCGGATGTTTGTTTGAGGTGAGTTTCTCGTTACTCTCGTTTCTGTTTATTTCTATTTCTCTTTTTTTCTCTCTCTCTCTTTTATCATCTATCAGCAACTTACATAGAGAGGAAAGAAACAGATTATGACTGTTTTCTTTTTCCTCTCTGTGTATGTTGCTTGTGTTATTTCCCTCTTAATCTCTCTCTCTCTCTTCTCTTTCTCTTTTAGTCTTCTTCCTTTTCCTCCTCATCTTCTCCTTCCATCTACATCTTCCTCTTCCTTAATCTCCTTCCATTCTCATCTTCCTCTGACTCCCCCCCATTTTATCATTCTCTTCCTCCTTTTTTTCTCATCCTATTCCAACTTCCCATCTTTTTCCCGTCCTACTCCTCCTCCTCTTCCTCTTTCTCTTCATCTTGTTCCTCTTCCTCTTTCTCCTCCTCCTCTTTCCCGTCCTCCTCCTCTTTCCCGTCCTCCTCCTCTTCCTCTCTTTCCTCCTCCTCCCTCTCCTCTTTCTCTTCCTCCTCCTCCTCCTCCTCCTCCTCCTCCTCCTCTTCCTCTTTCTCCTCCTCCTCCTCCCTCTCCTCTTTCTCTTCCTCCTCCTCTTTCCATATCCTCCCTCCTGCTCACCGACGATAGATGCTGCTGGATGTTTTATTCATTGTCTCGCATCAGCTTTGAAGAAATAAAGGCTGCGTTTTCTATTAATTCTTGACTCCGCGTGTATAAACCCGGGAAATGTTTAAAGGCCAAAAAAAAAAGAAGAAAAAAAAAATACATTTCACAAAAGGATCAAACAAAGGGATCAAGATAGAGGGGTAGGGGGGGGGGTAGGGGTGAGAGGGGAGGAGAGAAGGGAG